CGATCGTCGCGGGAGGGACGACGCAGGAGCTATACGGGGACCACTTCGTGGACGTCAGGCCCAGCGCGGACTTGATGGCTAGCAGCGCTGACACTGCAGGTCGTCGGATGGTGGCAGGGCGGCAGTGGGGAAAACAAAAATCGCGGTTCAAGTTGACAACTAGTGCTACCACACTGGATGCTGCTATTGGGCGGGGAGAGCTGGTCAAACATTATCATGCACAGCCAGCGAGAAACGCTACCAGTCCTAGTATATCGCCGCTGCACCACTCCGCACGTGGCATGTCACATGAGTTTTACGCAGCAGCACACCGGTGTTAACCTTGCGCTGACTTGATGGTGGCGCTCGCTTCCACCATGATGGCTTCCCAGCTGACTGCGCCCGGCCAAGTCCCGCCGCTCGACAGAAGCAGCAGCACGGCCACCAGACACGCAAGTCGCGCCGCTATGGCTCTAACGATCTCTCTTACCATTTCCTCGACGCCGCCGCTGAGCGGTTGTCACATGAGTTTTGTAGTACAAGTTCTGTCGTGCACAGCTGTGCTAACCTTGCGCTGACTTGATGGTGGTGCTTGCTTCCACCGTCATGACGCTGCGAGATTGGCTTCCCAGCTGACTGCCGCTCGGCCAACTGTCGCCGCTCAACAAAAGCAGCAGCACGGCCACCACACATGCAAATCGCGCCGCCATGGCTCCTACGCTCTCTATTACCGCCAGTGCGGGGGCGTTGCTGAGAGGCTGCGAAGCAAGCGATAGGACGGATCAACCACTGGCAGTAGTGCTAGTACAACAGGAACCATGATAGAACAGAGTACAGCACGGGATGAACGAACTCATCCCAAAATCAACGAACAAGTGGGGGAATCAAATGTCAAGAGGGCGGGTCAGGTGGGGTGCGCTCTCACAATTTTTTATTTCCAGTCCTTGATTTGGTGTGTAACCGAACTTGCACTTTCCGACCTCGGACAAGAGGTTGGAAGATCTTGTCAATCGATGCCTTGAGTACCACACAGCTTTCGCCCAACCAGCTTCGCCATGCTCTTCGTTATATCCGCCCCCTCGCCAAATCTTGGTGAGCGACTGCGGATACTCCACACGAAGAATAAACCACCGCGGGCATAAGTGCTTTTCTGGGAGGGGATGGTTGTGTGTACGAACTGATTTGTAACAGCTCGCGCTTCCACACGTGACAACTTTGACCCGGTACTGTGTACAGCACACCTTTCGGTACAGTCAGGGAAACTGCACCAATTGCAATTTTTCAGTCCCGATCCCCAACCACCAATCAGACGCGGTCAAGGCGTCGCATGTAGAGTCTGGTTTCATAGTTGATTTCGTAACCTGCTCGTTATGTACCTCGCTTTCGTTTCATTGCTTCGTCAGGCGACCAATAAATACTGTAAACAAAAGACAAAACACTATAGCAAGGATCGCTTGGGATCGCGATCCTGAAAAAATACATGATGCACCCCGCCCTTCCGAAAACGGCGAAATCGCACCCTACCTGACCCCCCCTTTGGATGCTGGCGCGTTGACAGTCAAGTTATCAAACTTCTTGACACCTTTTCAGATGCTGACGCATTGACAGTCAAGTAACCGTAGGCCTCGCTCTTCCTCCCTCCCCCACCTCCCCCCCGATTCACCCCACACCTCCCTTTCCTCTCCCCTCTTCCCCAAAATAGATGTGGATGGCCACGGGGAAGGGCGCGGCTCGGGCGCTCGACCTACCTGGACCCACCCCCCCCAAAATGCCCGAGGCGAAATGAAAAACTACGACCCAGCTGGACCTGGTGCTTGGCCGTTTTATCTATTTCCAGATAGATAATTGGCGAAGGGTAACCAGTTCGCCAGCCCATTTCCCAGCGTGAACAGTTGACGGGGAAGACGGTTACCGCATCGCTGGGCGTGAAAAAAGACGACCAAGCGTTAGATCGCAAGCGGCTGACGACAGCCGCGCGATAAAGTGTAGTGTAGTTGATTGTTGAAATTCTGTCAGTCTGTATAATTGTTTCCATGGTTTTCTTTCCAATGCAATGTTGTATTAGTGAATTGTGTGAATGATGGGGTGGTTTTAAGGGGGGTTTTTTATGTTTGAAATGGACAAAGCATGTCTTCATGTATCTATTCAATGCCGTTTCAGTGTTTTTTTTGCATGGATGGCCATACAAATGCCTGAATTGTGGAGCTCAAAATGGTCATTTTAAGGGGGTTTTATGGACTTTTGGTTGGTTTTAAATGGGTTTTTTTGGGGATTCTGTCTCCTCTAGTACTGATCTACTTGTTTTTTTTTTTTTTTTGAAAGTTTGCAAATGTTGCACTTTTTTGTTCATATTAGCCACTTGTTTTTTTGGGGAAAACGTCTCATGATTTGCTAGGGTGTTCTCAACGTCTATTTGCTGTGTTTCTTTATGATGACTTAGATGTTTTCCACCCCCAACAAACGTTAACATGGTGTCCTAGTGCTTCCATGGGTTTGAACCTTTGGGTTTTGGTCAATTAGATGATTTTTACATCGATTACAAGTACGGTCGGTTTGTGGAAGGTAGCATATATATTTGATTGTGGTTTTCAATGTTTTGTTGTTTTGGAATCGTGTGCCTTACACCTGGATTGCCTCCTTGCATTGTGCTTTGTGGTGTGGGGTTTGGGGAAATGGTATGTGTTTAGTTAGGCCTGCAATCTTGGTTGTTTAAAGTTAACACATTATTGTGCTAGGTGTAGTTTGTAGTAGCGCATTGAATGGGGTGGTCATTTTCGAGAGTGGAGGTAAGATTCGCGTGACTTCCCCGAAATAGAACTGCTTGTTCGGCGCATACGAGGTACATTTTCGACGAGCCCGATGCAGCGAAATTAGTAGCCCAATTTCGAGTTGAATAATAGCGATCGGGCGACTGAATTTGGGCAAATTTCGAAATCGACCGTCCTTGCATGGACTCGAATTCGAAATCACTGACCCCCACGTGGCGACTCAGGATAACTCTCGAAATTGGCATGGGGGAGATGGTTATTGGTCGGATTCTGTCGTTGTCAGATTTTCAGAGTGCAGCACAAGATTGAGATTGTCCCGATACGAGGGCTTTAGATCGCGGGTCAGTATGGGTTTCATGGCCTGGGGTGGCACTGCCATTGATAAATGCAACCTTTTTTGTCGCCACAACCATACAGGGTCGAATGTTTGAACACGACCTCAAAGTCCAGGCTCAGGATGGTGTTGGGCGGGTATAAATGCCTAACGGAGGTCATTTTCTCATTTTACATCTTCTCCTTCAGTTTTTGTCCAACTTCTTCCTTAGATCCCAGCCTCCCAGCTTCCACCACTTCGTCAATGGAGCCTTCGATGGAAGTAGAGGCTGCTGGCTTGCGTGTGCGCCTCTCTCGTTTAGAGTTCGAGAACATGCGATTCAAGCGTGGGGAATGAACCGAGAACATGCTCAACTTTGCTATGGTGTAAGATGCCCTTGTAGTTTTGTTTCTCGGATAGATGTGTGACGTTTCGAGATTTACGTTCTCTGTCACGTGTAGAGTACTAGTAGCGATCTAGCAAATAACGCTCTCGCCGCTCTAACGTTTAAACCATATTCCGAGTACTTGTCTCCTCTATTCTACTGCCCAAAGTAAGCGATCTCTATTTCGAGAAATATTTCCGCGAAGACGGATGTGTTGTGTAGCGCTGGTCTGATCTCTGAAAGCTCCTTGTGTTGTCTCTTGCAGGAAGATTGCAAAGGAGAGGCTGACCGCGGAGCAGCTGTCGAAAGTCGAAATCATCCCCATGAGTGCAGTCAACGCGGCCCGGGCGAAACAACCGTACGAACCCATGGGTCCTGGCAGACTCGATGGTGTGCTTGGCAAGCAACTCGTAGTCTTTCCGCTGTGGTCAAGGTGAGTTCGAATTGTAGAGGTTCCGGTATCAATCTTTATTTCTCTGAAAATACAACGGCTGTTCGATTTTCCGAGCTTTTACGCGCTTGCGAACCTTTCCCCCCACCGCCCCATGCAGCATGACTGCCGAGCCTGGAGCGCGCTGTAGCCTTTTCATGCTTGTTCGGCCCGATAGTTTGGTCGACCACCCGAATATTCCGGTTGCGACACGTCTTCTGCATTTCGACCCCAAGTCGAATTCTCCAGCACACAAGCACACCGACCTCGCCCTTCAAATGGTCAAGTAAGGTTTAACTATTGTCGCTCGTCACATGTGCAAATGACGGTACGGCAGAGCATAGCCTAATTTTGTCGGAAATTCACATGCCGAGCAGATGGCTGGAGGTGCAGCTCTTGACGGAATATTCTAGAGGAGAAGCACTCACTCCAAACTCGGAGGAGCAGGAAACTTTCCGCGACATCAGGAGACGGATTATGAGCGGGTGGAGGCTCGACATAGCGGGAGTAAGTTTACAATGCAAACTCGGAATTCAGCTCGGACCTCTAAGCTGGACAAGCCCTGACCAGCTCCCTTTCATTTTCATGCAGAAGCTAACTCCAATGGTCAGCTCGAGGGAGGTCGGGAGCGGTTCTCATGTAGCGTACCAGTGGCGTAAGGTGCTCGATCATTTTGACTCAATTCTCTTACAGCATGATCGAGATGATAAATTTAGGGTTCTTGGAAAACCACCCTACCGGCGGGAGGATATATTCAAGGACATAGTGACCAGCTGCAAAAAGTATTTCGACAAGCTGGCGGCAGGTGATGAGGAGGATGCGGGAGAGGTGGACCTGGAACCCGTTGGGGACGCTGCTGAGGACACGGGTGCCCCGCCCGTTATTGACGCCGAAATAGTCGCGTTGGGGGCAATGGTTTCTGACGGCGCACGAATGGGTCTGGCCAACGAGCGTCAGAGCGTAACGGATGGGGAGGGTCAGATGATGGACAGAGTGGAACCACCTTTTCAGAGGAGTGCGCGCGAGATCTTGCGTGGAATGAGGGAGGCGCAGCAGAGGGCACCAGAGGATAAGACCGGGCGTTGCAGATCGGAGACCCAACAACAGAGGGGGGAGGGGGAGAGGATGGAGGAGTTAGCAATTGGTTTAGAGGCAGTGCACCTCTCGGTCGAGAATGATGAACAGGAGGAGCAGGGGCAGGGTATGGACATGAGGCAGGGCAGTCCGAATGTCGTAGGCGAATCGGAGGATGAGGTCCTGAGAGCGGAACGCGATAATAGGGTGGTGTATCAGAGGCGGGAGACAAGAACAAAGAAGAAGTATGATCAGGAGCGGGAAGCACGCGAGGAGGATGAGGCGAAGCGGAGGGTGGAACAGAAGCGTGTGAGGCTCGAGGACCAGGAGCGAGAGGTGAGTGCGATGGAGGGGGACAGGGAGAGTGAAGAACGCGAACGCAAGAGGGAGGAAGAGCGGAAGAGGGAGGAGGCGAGGAAGGTGTGGCGCGAAAAGGAGGAGAAGCGGCAGAAGGATGAAGAGCGGAAGAGGGAGGAGGAAAGGCAGGCAGAGCGCGAACAAGAGGAGAAGCGGCAGAGGGAGGAGGAAGAGCGCAAAAAGGAGGAAAGGCAGGCTGAGCGCGAACAGGAGGAGAGGCGGCAGAGGGAGGAGGAAGAGCGGAAGAGGGAGGAGGAGAAAAAGGCTGAGCGCGAAAAGGAGTCGAAGCGGCAGAAGGATGAGGAGGAGCGGAAGAGGGAGGAGGCGAGGAAGGCGGAACGCGAAAAGGAGGAGAAGCGGCAGAAGGAGGAGGAGGAGGTGAAGAGGGAGGAGGCGCGGAAGGCCGAACGCGAAAAGGAACACAACCGGCAGAAGGAGGAGGAGGAGGAGAGGAAGAGGGAGGAGGCGAGGAAGGCGGAACGCGAAAAGGAGGAGAAGCGGCAGAAGGAGGAGGAGGAGCGGAAGAGGGAGGAGGCTAGGGAGGCGGAACGTGAAAAGGAGCAGAAGCGGCAGGAGGAGGAGGAACAGAAGAGGGAGGAGGCAAGAAAGGCAGACCGCGAAAAGGAAGATAAGCGGCAGAAGGAGGAGGAGGAGTGGAAGAGGGAGGAGGCGAGACAGGTAGAACGCGAAAAGGAGGAGCAGCGGCAGAAGGATGAGGAGGAGCGGAAGAGGGAGGAGGCGAGGAAGGCGGAACGCGAAAAGGAGGAGAAGCGGCAGAAGGAGGAGGAGGAGCGGAAGAGGGAGGAGGCGAGGAAGGCGGAACGCGAAAAGGAGCAGAAGAGGCAGGAGGAGGAGGAGGAGCAGAAGAGGGAGGAGGCTAGGAAGGCGGAACGCGAAAAGGAGGAGAAGCGGCAGAAGGAGGAGGAGGAGCGGAAGAGGGAGGAGGCGAGGAAGGCGGAACGCGAAAAGGAGGAGAAGCGGCAGAAGGAGGAGGAGGAGCGGAAGAGGGAGGAGGCGAGGAAGGCAGAACGAGAAAAGGAGCAGAAGAGGCAGGAGGAGGAGGAGCAGAAGAGGGAGGAGGCTAGGAAGGCGGAACGCGAAAAGGGGGAGAAGCGTCAGAAGGATGAGGAGGAGCGGAAGAGGGAGGAGGCGAGGAAGGCGGAACGCGAAAAGGAGGAGAAGCGGCAGAAGGAGGAGGAGGAGGAGCAGAAGAGGGAGGAGGCTAGGAAGGCGGAACGCGAAAAAAGAGGAGAAGCGGCAGAAGGATAAGGAGCGGAAGAGGGAGGAGGCGAGGAAGGCGGAACGCGAAAAGGAGGAGAAGCGGCAGAAGGAGGAGGAGGAGCGGAAGAGGGAGGAGGCAAGGAAGGCAGAATGCGAAAAGGAGCAGAAGAGGGAGGAGGAGGAGGAGGAGCAGAAGAGGGAGGAGGCTAGGAAGGCGGAACGCGAAAAAGAGAAGCGGCAGAAGGATGAGGAGGAGCGGAAGACGGAGGAGGCGAGGAAGGCTGAACGCGAAAAGGAGCAGAAGCGGCAGGAGGAGGAGGAGCGGAAGAGGGAGGAGGCGAGGAAGGCGGAACGCGAAAAGGAGGAGAAGCGGCAGAAGGAGGAGGAGGAGCGGAAGAGGGAGGAGGCAAGGAATGCGGAACGCGAAAAGGAGGAGAAGCGGAAGAGGGATGAGGAGGAGCGGAAGAGGGAGGAGGCGAGGAAGGCGGAACGCGAAAAGGCGGGGAAGAGTGTGGAGGCCAACGAGCGAGAAACGCGCGAGGAGGCGAGGGTGGAGGAGCGAGAGCGACAGAGGCAGGTCGGTGAGACCGGGGAACGAGAATCGCGTGAAAGGGAGGAAGCGCGGCAGAGGCAGGATCGGGAACGAAAGAGAACTGAAAGCGAACGCAGAAGAAAAGAGCTGCAGAGGCTCGAGCGCGAAAGGTTTGTGGCGAGGCAGACGGAGCAAGCGGGTGTGCATCAGGGTGTGGAGCGTCCGAGGGATCGACCTGTAGAGAACGAGCGCCGTGGGATGGGGGGCGCTACACAGAAGGAGGAAAGGCAGAGGGAGGTTGCTGGGTTGAATGAGCAAGGTGCTGGGGGGCAGCGGCGTGTGGCTGAGGGCCAGAGGGGCGCGAGGTTCTTCCCAATGCAGTTGGGGCGGGATGTAGGGGATGGAGCTCGGCAAGTGGTGGTTGGCGACCAGCCAACCCTGGGGCATCACGGAACAACTGTTGGTCGGGCAGCGGATGTTGATTTATCGGGATTGAGAACAGGCGGACCGAGGCCGATGATGCAGCGGGAAGGTGGCCGGCGTGATGATCAAACAGCCCGGAACAGGGTCGGCGCGGGAGACCATAGGAGGTTCGATCAGTCAAGGCAAGCTGGTAGGCGAGAGGGTGAAGCGATTGGAACGCGGCAGGGTGAGCGAATGGCGGAGGATCAGGTCTGGCGTGGGGTGGGATGGGGAATGGAAGGAGTGCGACACAGGGAGTTTCAGCAGAGAGAGGCGGGAGGACGTGCGGACGAGGAACTAGAGAGTGCGGCTAGTGCGCTCCCCATGCAGAGGCGGCATCCACGAGCGGCAGAGAATCCTGCTGTGGTGCAGGGAGAGGAACTAGAGGATGGTGAATGGGTGGCTGTGGAGGCGCTACTGGCGGGACTGGAGCAAGCGGGGCCGCAGGTTTTCGAGGAGACGGAGCGAGGATTTGAGGAGGCTGGCGACCGCATCGCAGCTGGCGGCAGGATGCATACCACAGCAGAGTTGATGCGGCGTCTGACCTTGGTGGCAAGGTCCATGGCGAGGGCTTCGTCGGAGCAACGTGTTCGTTTCATCGACTGCATGGCAGAGATTCGAGAGTTTGGTACGCAGATGCAAGCCTTGGACAGCCGCTACTTCCAGGACTACGATGATCTAACACACGAGTACCACGAGCTCAAGGCCGGGGTGGTCCGGGAACGCGACGAGCTAACCCAATTGCGTACTGCTCTTTCGGCTTCTGTCGCCAAAGCACGAGCGGCAGCAGCTGATGCGGGTCGCGCAGCTGCAGCAGCGGCTGTGGAAGCATTGGAGGAAAGGTTTCAGGGGTTTTTCGAGAACTTACGGGAGAAGCTGAAGAGTGTGGTGGAGCAGGTGATAGAGCAATCGTCGCTAGAGGCCTCGTTCACATCCACCTCCATGGAACACCTGCAAGCGGCTATTGACAATAGTGTACTCGCAGTGTGGGAGGATCTCAGGGCTGCCGATGACCAAAACAATCTGACTTTCAACAAGATTCAGAAGGCTCTGGCAGGACTGTCAACAAAGTTCAAAGGGCTGACTGGACCCGGCAAGGTCCGAAAGCCACCCACCGCCAGAGGAGAGGCCACACCAAAGGCTTCGCGAAAGCAGCCCGAAGCAGTTTCCCCAGACATCCCAATCTCCTCAGCACAACGAGTCATTGAAAGGTCTGCCGCAACGTCCGAGGGTGAGGAGGGTGACGCGGGTGAGGCGGGTGATACGGGCGCTGGTGTGGCAGATATTGACTTGTCAGAACCAAAGAGGAGAAACTGGAGAGAGACGTTCGCAGCAAAGAACATGCAGAAAGAGAGGGAGAAGGGGAGCGAAGATAGGAGGACGGCTGAAGCGCGGAAGCGGCAAGCACTTCAGACGGCGCAAGTGACGGCTGCAAAGAAGAGGCGGGCTGAGAAGGGGTTGGGAAATACGAGGGTGGAGGACCGTCCTGCGACTGTCAGCAGGGGGAGAGAGACGGAAAACCAACCGGCGGGTACAGCTGCAGAGGCAAGGAAGGCAGAACGCGAAAAGGAGCAGAAGCGGCAGGAGGACGAGCGGAAGAGGGAGGAGGCAAGGAAGGTAGAACGCGAAAACGAGGAGAAGCGGCAAAAGGAGGAGGAGGAGCGAAAGAGGGAGGAGGCAAGGAAAGCGGAACGCGAAAAGGAGTTGAAGCGGCAGAAGGATGAGGAGGCGCGGAAGAGGGAGGAGGCAAGGAAGGTAGAACGCGAAAAGGAGCAGAAGGCGACAGGAGGAGGAGCGAAAGAGGGAGGAGGCGAGGAAGGCAGAACGCGAAAATGAGGAGAAGCGGCAGGAGGAGGAGGAGCGGAAGAGGGAGGAGGCAAGGAAGGTAGAACGCGAAAACGAGGAGAAGCGGCAAAAGGAGGAGGAGGAGCGGAAGAGGGAGGAGGCAAGGAAGGGAACGCGAAAAGGAGAAGCGGCAGAAGGATGAGGAGGCGCGGAAGAGGGAGGAGGCAAGGAAGGTAGAACGCGAAAAGGAACAGAAGCGACAGGAGGAGGAGCGAAGAGGGAGGAGGCGAGGAAGGCGGAACGCGAAAAGGAGGAGAAGCGGCAGAAGGAGGAGGAGTGGAAGAGGGAGGAGACGAGGAAAGGCGGAACGCGAAAGGAGGAGAAGCGGCAGAAGGAGGAGGAGAGCGAAGAGGGAGGAGCGAGGAAGGCGGAACGCGAAAAGGAGGAGAAGCGGCAGAAGGAGGAGGAGGAGCGGAAGAGGGAGGAGGCGAGGAAGGCGGAACGCGAAAAGGAGGAGAAGCGGCAGAAGGAGGAGGAGGAGCGGAAGAGGGAGGAGACGAGAAGGCGGAACGCGAAAAGGAGGAGAAGCGGCAGAAGGAGGAGGAGCGGAAGAGGGAGGAGGCGAGGAAGGCGGAACGCGAAAAGGAGGAGAAGCGGCAGAAGGAGGAGGAGCGAAAGAGGGAGGAGGCGAGGAAGGCGGAACGCGAAAAGGAGGAGAAGCGGCAGAAGGAGGAGGAGGAGCGGAAGAGGGAGGAGACGAGAAGGCGGAACGCGAAAAGGAGGAGAAGCGGCAGAAGGAGGAGGAGGAGCGGAAGAGGGAGGAGACGAGAAAGGCGGAACGCGAAAAGGAGGAGAAGCGGCAGAAGGAGGAGGAGGAGCGGAAGAGGGAGGAGGCGAGGAAGGCGGAACGCGAAAAGGAGGAGAAGCGGCAGAAGGAGGAGGAGGCGAAGAGCGATGGAAAGAAGGCGGGCACAGAGGGAGGCGGAGTTAGAAGCTAAGCGTCAGCAGATTGCTAAGATTGCGGAAACAAAGCGGTTGGAGGCAGCAAAGCGAAAAAGAGACCTCGAAATAGAGCGTCGGAAAGCCCTGGAGGAGATCGAGCGTATTGCACGGTTAGAGGAAGCCGCAAAGGAGGAAGAGGAGAGGCAACAAATGGAGTTAGAGGCGGAAACAGAGAAAATGGAAAACGAGAGGCGACGGATTGCGGGGGAGGATGAGAAAGGGGCAGCGGGGCAACGGCAGGGAGGAGGGGCGGAAGAAGGGTGGGCCGGGATTCTTCAAGTGATTTCATTGGTTCCCGATGAACCGCTGCAACTAGTTGACCTCGTGGGGGAGGTGGAGGGTTCGGAACATGTGACAGGCTCTGGAGGTCTAGAGACTTAACCGCCTTTGAAGAGGCTTCGCATTGACCAGACCGGAACGAACCTCGACGCGGATGAGGGGTCTTTGGGGGCTGCTGTGTCAGAGGAATGTGTCGGTGAAAATGTGTCGGGAAATCAGAACGTTCAACCAACGTTGGGGGAGGCGACGGGAGAGGTGGCACCGCGAAGAGCGGATGTGCTACCAGACGAGCTAGGGAAGCGGTGGGGGGAAACAAAGCATTTCAGATCGAGTGGTCTTACCACACGCGAGAAGAAGAACAAAAAGGGGGAAGTGGTGTACGTGCGCTACAACTCGGAGCAAACCGTCGGAGGTGTGAAGAGGAACATGGGGAGCTACAAGGAGCGGAAACTACGCGATTTCACAGTGGCCGTCTGTTGGATGGCCTACTTCCCCGACACCGATATGGCCCATTACGGCTTGGATCCTGCCGAGCTTGGCTTGTGGGCGGTCCACCTCGATTTCGCTCGTGAACTCCCGACGGGTGTCTGGAGTGTCATGAACGAATTGAACCTCGACAAGTTCGAGAAGTAAGTACTCGATTCGGATTAGCTAGATCTAGTACACTTTCCCGTTTTGCCTTACTAACCGTGTACCCACCTCGCCTGTGCAGCTTCGAAAACGTCATGAACAAGACAAATGCACGGGTGAAGGATGACGCACATTTCCAGGTGGCCGTTTGCACAGGGATTGGACAGGCCCTGGTACACGGAGGGAGTGGGCTGGTGTCGCCCCCCGCGAATGTCACTCCCGCGGTCTATGCAGCGGGAGTAGCTGCAACCCTCTACACCTTGTGGTGTGCCTCGATCGGCATTCCCCACCAGGACTGGGCGGAGGGTGCGGATGAGGCGGCTCGTGGCACGCTCAACGAGGCAAGCCTTGCTAGTCGAGCAACCTCTACTGCTCGCCTCGGAGTGTGGACCTTGAAGGCCGTGAAGAACCTAACGCACGAGAAGGCGGATTGGGAAGTGGTGCTCACCAAGGCCATTCTCGGCCTTGTGGATCCCGAGCCCGGGGAGGCAGAGGCTATTGAAATGGCCAAGGTGGTTTCGAGGGTGCTGGTGTACTGGTGCGAGTGCTGTCACGCAAACCAGAGTCTTTACGCGTATCAGGGTGGGATGCTCCATTTTCCCCAGCCCACAAAAGGGGGACGGCGGAAGGGGAATGCGGGAGGCAACGAGTGATGCAGGATGGGGAGGGTAATTTCGAGTTTGCAGCAGCTCTGTACTATAGTCTGCTGAATGTTGTAGTTTTTGAGTTTCCATTGATTTGAACTTAAATCTGTTACATGCATTGTTTGACTCGAAAGCATGGCGTGAATAAGGACTTGAATGCTGTAGGGTTAGATCTCTGAACCACGGTGTTTCCTTAATTGCTTTTGAGGCTTTGTTTTCAAGTAACTAGCGTACTTAGGATTTCGATCGTGAACTTAACGCGTGACGAGAGTGCAACCCTCTTGCTTCGGATTAGTCTGTGGCATGCTTTGATATTCGACACATTCCCATGTTTTCGAGACATTCCCATGCTTAACATTGACGTTCCAATGACTAGTGTTACTCTAAAGGAGGATTTAGAATCTAGAACAGAAGAGAGGGAGGGCATCAAAGTTCCCTCTGGCGGCGCAGTGATTTCTTTTTGCATGCCATCATAGTTTGTTGCTAACCCTGATTTTCGAGAGATTCCTACGTTCCATTGACTATTGTGGCAGGTAACCATGTACTCCAAAGGGAGCCTGCTCATTCGAGTTTTGTTCGCGTATTTTTTCCATGCCGTCGCAACACTGTTAACGACACCTGTTTTCGAGCACAATCCTCTTGGTACGATAGGCGAAGGTTACGATGTACGGTGGGTGTAAATTTTGTAGTGGAACTGCATACGATCCAACAATGATGTAACTCTAAAAGAGGTTTTAGATCAGAGGAAACTAAAAATAAGAAAAAGAGGGGTCAAAGTCAAGAGCAGAGCAGAAATGAGGTCCAAGATGAGGGAAGCGATCACGGAAGGAAGTCTCGGTAGCGTAAACTACTTGTTCAGTTTAGCCAGCTTCTTCGGCTCCTCCATCTTGATCTTCTTCCAAACATCTTTCCCAAACATCTTCTCTCCCCACCCGTCACCCACCATCTGGGCGGCGAAGAGGAGGTACCCGACCTTGCGGCGCTTGTTCTCCGTCGTCTTATCCTTGCCGGGATTATCCCTCTTCGGAGGTGGCTCGTTTCCGAGAATCACCCCATCCTCCAGTGCGCTAATCGAACTCCGACCCACCACGTTCTTCTCGATCTTCGCAATGGCATCTCGGGTGGCCTCCTCCGTTTCGTTAGCCCTGTATTTCTCGACCGCGAGCATCACGTTCCTCATCCGCTTCATTTTTTTGTCGCCAGTATCGTCCTTCACACCCTTCTCAATGTACGAGAAAGTGGGGTAGAAACTTTTTTCTGACGACAGCTGGTGGAGAGTCTTCCCTTCCATCAAAAAGGTCACCTTCACCCAGTGCTCCCATGCCTGTGCGACCGACTCCGAGTCCCGCCAGGGTTTAACGACAAGGTCGAAAAATGCCCGCACTGGAGTGCTGGCTTGTGCCTTCCCAGGCTTCGGAGCCTCCCCACCAGCTTCCTCCTTTGCCGACGAGCCCGACCCTCGATCAGCGGCCTGTGCGTTCGCGCTGCTCTCTGCACGCGCCTTTAGAGCAGCCAGCTCCTCTTTGAGCTGCTTGTTTTCAGCGGCCGTCTTCTTCTCCCTCTCTTCGGTTTCAGCGAGCCTGTTCTTCAGCACGCCAATCTCGTGATCCTTCTGACCACATTCCGTCCGCCACAGGTTGTTCTCTACGAGGAGCTTCTGGTACTTTCGGGATGAGTTCAGCTTGTAGATCGCATCCTGCGGGAAAACGGACGAGGGTTTTCAGGCATTGTCAATGCTGTCGAAATATAAGGGCCGATCAGAGAACTGATGTACTCACAGCGGCTGCAGAGGTGCCTCTGGCTTCACGAAGTTCAATGCCAGCCTTGTGCATGATTGCCACTTTGATGGCCCATTTCTGGAAGAGATGGTGGCGGCAGAGCGGATTCATGTCCGTGTACGGGTGGCGCGGGCACTGGCATGGCCGTCTTGTACCGTCGAAAAGATGGTCGTGATCGGGGCAGTAGAACCACCACATGGCAAGGTCCTGTGCCACGATGTCTCGCCCAGGGTTTGCAAGAGCCTCCAAAAAACTTCTGCCAGAGTGGTGCGGCTTATCCGGATACTCACGGTTGTACTTATCGACCTGAGATGGTAGGACAGAGAAGACATTCAGCTCTGCCTAGCGCAACAACTTTAGACACTGCAAAAGGCTGGGTAATCAAGGGGTACCTTTGCCAAATCAGATTCGAGGCGCGGGAAGATGAACAGCTTGAAGAGGTCTTGCAACTGTTTCCACTCGGTGTCATTGTCGAGTTTAGCGTGCGCTCTGCCGATGTAGTAATCTCCCGGCTCCCCACTGAATCCGGCCATCATCAAGACCGGCCAAAACGGAACGCCCACGACATAGGATTTTCGCATCTCGCCCTGCTCCCAGCCGCCGAGAGCGTTGATGTCGGGGTCGGGACAGCGATCGTCACTCAGGCCTTGGGCTCCCGATCGGCGAAACGCATGGGTCTTTTTGCTAATCCGCCAGGGCGGTCGCGCTACGTCGTTCATGACCCAATTAATCCAGTTGTTGTGAGTCACGTACGGAAGCTCTTCCTGCAGTTGTTCCCTTCCGTGCCTCAATGGGAAGAAAATGTGCTTCTTAGACCACTGAAGGGGGTCGCTGAAGTCCAGTGGCGGAATGATGTCCGCTCCGAATCGCAGTGGCACGAGGTCGTAGACGAAATGAATCCACAGAAAAAGACCACCAACACCGCAGAGCGCGAAGTTGATGTGCCGGGCCAAGAATTGGTGGGTCAGCCTGTTGGTCGCATTCGTCTTGGACTTTCGAGAGGCGAAAACCACCACAGGGAGATCCTTCTGGCGGTCGGGGACGGCCGTGCTGCTACGCGTGTGGCGGACAAACATGTTCGCGAATCGTAGAGCATGAATGCTGCATCCCCTCCCCAACATTTGGTGTGCGAGTTGAATCATCACCTGCACCGCAAAACACCGCCAGAGACTTTCTGATAGTGCAACCCTGGCTCTCTGGTAGCACTCTTTGATCTCCCTCAGAAAGTGCTTCTCGTGCAGGTCCGCGTACTGCTCCGACGTGTAGCAATCGTCCAGAGAGTTTCGGTGCTGATCCTTGCCCTCCCTGCATAGACCAACGTGAAACGTGCTTAGGCATCGAATTTTCGAGAATCTGTTTGGCCATGAAGTGTGTAAATACTCACGCAACCTGCTTGTCGTGCAGCTGTTTCAGCTTGAGCTTCATGTACTCCCGCGATTCGCCGATAAACTCATCTGCTTGGGCCTTCGGGTAGTCGTAGAGTCGAGCTTCAAGTCTACCCAGGAAGCCCAAAGCGCTCATCTTTGCCTTCATCATGCTCGGCGTACTAGGGATGGGCTCCTTTCCAGCCACCACTTCTTCGCCTCTCCGCATCATCTCGGCCTGCGCGGGGGTTTCCTCTGCCATGTACCGCAGGAACCTCTGAATCCTCCATCCAGTAACACGGGGCCCGTGGAGATAAACTTCATCCAAATCCACAGTTGACCACTCCGCCTTTTTGTCGTTCCCCAGATGGCTTCCAACCTCGTCAGGATTCAGCGGGTCCAGACGCTCCGCCGCCGGAACCTCAGTCTTGGGCAGCGTTGACATGAACATGATGACCCACCACTTGTAGTGCAGCCAATACAGGATGTAGTCTTTTCTGGTTTTCGCCGCGAGATAATCGTAGGGGACCTTTGCGCGGCGAATCCTGCTGGCCACGTCGGCCTGTTTTCGAACTGACTCGTGCGTAGCTGATGCTGGCCCATCTGCATTTCTCTGAGGCGCGGCCTGCGATGCTTGCCCCTCCGCATTTCCCTGTGGCGCAACCTGTGGTTCTTGTCCCTCAGCATTTCCCGCGGGCGCAGCCGACGATCCGACACCATGTGCACTTCCATGGGGCGATGCCTCTGATTCTGGGCCGTTCACATTGCCACAGGCCAGTTCCACAAAAAGAATTCGACAGGTGGCATTATCTTCAGAGGTTGGGCTTCGGCTAGCATTTTCCTCCCAATTCTCCTCAAACAACGCTCGGTGGGGGTCCTCGTCATCGTCCGCGAGATTAATGAACACCCCCCTCGGAATTCCGCCCCTCGGAAATCCGCCCTCAGCCACATTTCCCTCGACCCCGACTTCAGGGTTCGAGGCCGGAAATTCCTCCTGAGCATCCAGGAACACATCGCCCCCAACAGCTGCCTCGAATTCCCCGTCCGCATCGCGGTCCTCGGTTAGATCAATCGGGGCATTGGGCAGTTGGCAGTCTGGAAGATCATGATACTCCTCATTGAGGTCGAAATCGTGCGCTAAGAAATTACCCGTACCGCCTTCGCCCGCCATCACGGTGTACCTGTTTCAGAGGACTCTATGCTCCACATGTGCGCGAAACCAGTCCTGAAAGGGTTATTTTCGACAAGCGAAATCTAAAACGCCTCGTCGGGAATGGGATGGACTGCCAGCAAGCCCAGGAGCATGTTGTGCTGAAAAGAGACTCGTGATCGGAGTTGTTACTGGGAGAATAAACTATGAATGTGACCCTTCTGAGTGGAGAACAATGATGATCTAAAATGGATGTTCAATTTAGAGTTCTTTAGCGTCTCGAAAATGCCCCCATTTTTTAGAGTAGAAAAAATTTCATCGCTGGCTCAACCCTCGGCGTGTGTGCAACTCTGAAAGAAGCAATCAATCATGCCATGCTGGATTGAAGGTATGGAAGCAAAGAGTGTCAAGATAAGAGGTAGTCTTAGGAGCCATAGCTAGGAGAGTCCTAGCTAGGCAAGAGAGTTTAGGCGAAAGAAGGGGGTTGCACTAGCAAGAATGGGGATACAAATAGCAAACCCTAGAAGGGTTGTACTCGCTACAGAGCACCCCACTACAGGCTAGAGCATAATATTTTGACACACCCCCATAGCCAAAGTGGGGTGTAATCAGCAGAGCAAGCAAAGCAGTACAAGCTCAGGGTGGATCACAATGTCACCACACATTCTGAGCACAAGTTTAAGAAGCAATAGTTTAAAGTTCACAATTATGAGCAAAGCTAGTGGTAGTCACAACGGGCAAGTGAGGAGGAGGAGGGCTGGCGAGAGGAGAGTAGATGGGAGGCGACGACTGAAGCTGCAGGCACACGGGCAACAGACGGCTCTGGTGCGACACAGTGGCTACCGGGAGTGAGTGCCCCGGAGTACAGGAGTAACAGGCTCCGCGGCTAAGACGAGCAGCAGGAGCAACGGACCCACAGGCGACGGCGCAACCGGCTCTCTGAGCTACCGGGAGTGAGTGCCCCGGAGTACAGGCGCTGCGTACGACACGACGGCAACCTCCCCTCAACCTCCCCCAACAGTCCCACACCCCTCGACACACACCCGCTGCTACACCGCTAGCTCCACTCCCCCTTCACCCCCCCTTAGTACCACTCCGACGGCTCCAACAGGTCCACCCCCCTCAGCGGCAGCTGCAGCACAGGGAGACGGAGGAGGAGGAGGAGCAGGGAACGGCACACAGAAGCTGCACCCCCATACCCCCCAACCCCAAACCCTAATCCAGGAGAACGGGCAGAAGGAGGGGTGGGGCGCCTTCAGAAGCACGGGGTGTCAGAAATAACTGAGCAGGAATGAATGAACTAGAACAGAGTTTGGTACAAGTAGGAAACCCTAACTTTGTGTACCCCCTAAGGTGTAACCCACTACAGCCTAGACAATATAAACATGCAATGTTTGACACACCCCCATAGGCGCAGTGGGAAACAACCACAGGGTCACAAGACCAGTCAAAGCAAAGCAAAGCAAGCTCAGGGTGGATCTCAAGGATTCCACACAAATTCCGAGCACAAGCAAGCGGTCACAAGACCAGTTCACATGCAGGTTTATAACAAAGTAAGAGATACAGTGATCACAACCTAGCAAAAGTAAGCAAGAAGGCATATATATATAGTGATCACAGTACAAGTAAGGTCAAGAGGTAAGCAAGTGAGGCCCAGTAGGTACAAGGCCTAGCAGAGTGCAAAAGCGCTGATGGTCACAAGGCTGAAGCGCCTTGGTGAACACATCAGCAGTGTTGGCCTCCGTGGCCACGTAACGCAGACAAAGCTGACCACGCTGCTGCAGCTCTCGAGCAAGGAAGTACCGCAGAGCGATGTGCTTCGTTCTGTGCTCCAGTCTGTGCTCCTCACACAAGGCAATGGCAGCCTTGTTGTCGACGTACAGCACTGGAGGAGAACGAGGCCGCTCTCCGAGGTCGGTCAGCAGGTAGGTCAGCCAGCGTAGCTCCTGAGCAGCCATGGCTGTGGCGTAGATCTCAGCCTCACAACTGGAGCTGAGAACAGAAGAAGAGCGAGTAGAACGCCAAGAAACTGAGCCAGAGCCAAGGCTGAAGGTGTAACCCTGGGACGACCGCTGAGTAGCCTGGTCGTCTGCCCAAGAAGCGTCTGAGTGCCCTGTGAGAACAACCCGGTCTCGCCCTCCAAGCACAAGCCCCATGCCCGACGTACTGCACAAGTAGCGCAACACCCTCTTAGCAGCATCCATGTGCTCCTTCCGGTGACGGCCAGGAGCGACATAGCGTGCTAGGATGCTAAGAGGGTATGCAAGGTCAGGTCGAGTGCAGGTCATCAGGTACATGAGGCAGCCCACAAGCTCTGGATACGGGCCACTCGGCTCTACGGACTCATCCGAAGGCAGAGCTGAGAGCGAGTGACCGGTAGGCAGAGGAGTGGACTGAGGCGAGGAGTACGTGAAGCGGAAGCGCTGGAGGACCTGCTGCACCATGTGTGACTGAGTCAGGGTGATGGTGCGCCGTGCTCTGTCCCGGGTGATCCGCAAGCCAAGATAGCTCGTCAGCTCACCCAGGTCTGTGCACGTGTGTCTCCTCTGCAGCTCCGACTTCACGTGAGCGAGTGCCGCGGTGTCAGCAGTGGCAAAGACCAAGTCGTCGACGTACACGAGGATGTAGAACGGCGGCAGCGAGGTGTCGGTGCGTAGAAACAGCGACGGGTCAGCAGTAGAGGGAGCGAACCCAAGAGCCGCAAGTGTCGTCCTCAGTGTGTCGTGCCACTCACGTGGCGCCTGGCGGAGACCGTAGACCGGCCGCTGAAGCCTCCACTGGGTGCCAGGAGGAAATGACCCAGTGAAGCCAGGGGGGCGGCGCAGCCAGATCTCCTCGTGCAGGCTGCCCTGCAAGAAAGCAGTGCTGAAGTCAAGAGAGTGAAGCTCGTAGTCGCGGTGAGCGGCTATGTGCAGCAGCACCCGAAGAGTAGTCATCTTCGGGGTGGGGGAGAAGGTCTGAAAGAAGTCTACTCCCTCTCGCTGACTGAAGCCTCGAGCCACGTAGCGCGCCTTGAAGACAGGTGGAGAACCCGGAGGCCGCTTCACCCTAAAAATCCACATGCCACTGACGATGTTCGCCCCAGGAGGGGGAACCTCGTCTACGTAGGTGCCTGTGGACTTCCAGGAGGCCATCTCTGCGTCCATGGCTGTCTGCCACTGAGAGGAGTAGGGACCCGCCATCGCCTCAGCATAAGAGCGTGGGGTCGGGATGTCTGGTGCATCCGGGTCTCCCTCAGGGGCAACTAGCAAGGACACGAGACGGGGCAAAGCAGCAGCAAGGCAGTGGAACTCCTCCTGTCTGTCCTCAAGGACGTCCGTGCCGAGGGCACACTCACCCCCGACGGACGGAGGACAGGCAGACGCAGACTCAGACCTAGCGACAAGGCTGGCAGCGTAGTCTAGGCGACAGCGAGCAGCAAAGTCAACCAACTCAGCGACCAGGGCAGACGCAGCAGAGGACTCAAAGGTCGGGTCAGTGACAACTGTAGCGAGGAGACGCGTAACAGTGGGACTGGCAGCACGACGGGAGTCAGACTCCGGGTCAGGAAGAGTAGGAAGAGAGGACGCAGGAGGAGACGGCAGCGGGACACGCTGCGGAGCAGTGGAGGGACGCAGAGTCATGTAGTGAGTGCCAGGGACAGGAGAAGGACGCTCACGTGGGACACGACGACCAGTGCGAGCAGTACGAACAGGCGACGCAGGACGAGACTCAGGCTCACGACGCTCTGTAAGACCTCCTGTGGGACCAGCGTAAGGGGAGGGAGCAGGGAGAGGCGAGACAGGCGGTAACTGTGACTGCGGCTGGACAGGCAGAGGACACTCGACGGAGGGAGGAGGACAAGGAGGAGGAGCCTGACCAAGAACCTGCTGAAGGAGCGGTACGAAGTACGGTCGCGGCCGCGCAGCGTCTCCAGAAGCAGCAGGGACACCAGTGGCAGCCCCAACGCCCGAGTCCTCAGCACCAGCAGCAGCTCCAACGCCCGAGTCCTCAGCACCAGCAGCAGCACCACCGGTCGGGTCCTCAGCACCAGCAGCAGCTCCAACGCCCGGGTCCTCAACACCAGCAGCAGGGCCACTGGTCAGGTCCTCAGCACCAGCAGCAGCGCCACCGGTCGGGTCCTCAGCACCAGCAGCAGCTCCAACGCCCGGGTCCTCAGCACCAGCAGCAGCTCCAGCCCCCGGGTCCTCAGCACCAGCAGCAGCTCCAGCGTCCGGGTCCTCAGCACCAGCAACAGCACCACCGCTCGGGTCCGCAGTACCAGGAGCACCACTACGAAGACTGCAGCGCCGCGTGTACCACTCGCGGATCACCTGAATGGGGGGGAGCTCCTGGGTAGGAGGGGAAGTACCGGGACGAGCTCCAGAAGCACCTCTCCGGAGGCGGCAGTACTCGAGGTACCTCTCCTGCAGCTGCTGGGAGGAGGGGTCTCCTCCAGGTGGAGCACGCTCAGGCTCAGCACCCCCAGACTCAGCACCCCCAGACTCAGCACGTCCAGACTCAGCACCTCCAGGCTCCGCACCTCCAGGCTCCGCACCTCCAGGCTCAGCACCCCCAGGCTCCACACCTCCAGGCTCAGTACCTCCAGGCTCCGCACCTCCAGGCTCAGCACCCCCAGGCTCCGAACCTCCAGGCTCAGCACCCCCAGGCTCCACACCTCCAGGCTCAGTACCTCCAGGCTCCGCACCTCCAGGCTCCGCACCTCCAGGCTCAGCACCCCCAGGCTCCGCACCTCCAGGCTCAGCACCCCCAGGCTCCGCACCCTCAAACGCAGCACTCCCAGGCTCAGCACCCCCAGACGCAGGACGCGAGTCAACAGCTACCTCGACAGGCTCACCCGGGTCTACCTGGGACACACCTGAGGGAGCGGCACCCTGAGGGGGGAGGGGGTCTGGTACCTCAGCACCTGGAGCGAGGAAGAGAGGTGGGGGGGGGAGCGGGGCAGTGCGGTAGGGGAAGAGGCGGTAGAAGGGGACGGACTCGTCAAAAGTGACGTCCTGAGAGGCCAGAACCCGGCGCGA